CAGCATTGTTTTGAGCAAATCATTATTGCGTCAGTGTCCTGTTTAAACAAGATGTGAGCGTACCTTCACTCCTTCAGTTAACAGTTGTCTGCAGGATTAAACCCTGAAAAAGTTATTCATGATCTTATTTTCTTGACTCCCTCCTTTCCTGAATTAACTAAACATCAATTAGTTCAGATTGCAGCAGTGAGGCTACATGTTGACCCCATGTGATTCAGCTCATTACACATTTTATTATAAATAACCTGAAAGTAAATGAGAACAGGATGATTGATTGATTGTTCAATTAGTGGGACTGACGCACGTTAAAATTATATTAACATTAACAAGTGCAGCATTAAAATGAATATCATTCATGTTTGGTGTGATTAATCAGAACAGACATATCATTTATAAACACATGAGTCAAACTCTTCAGATGCCATATTAAGCCCACATGAGCTCCCCTGGGTGTGGTGCAGCCTGTATGACTGTGCAGTTTAGCAGGACTGCTGGTTGGATCTTAATCTCTGTTTATATAACGGTGTGAAAAACGTCAGAGCCTCGGGGAGGACTTGTTAAGCTATCCGTTACCCAGGTTACCTACAGCTGGCTGTGATTATCTGTGATTACTCTGTATGGTCATGTGGTTTGTCCGGAGGAGAAGTTGAGAGCTTCGTCTTCCTTTATTTGATCGGCCTGCGGTTCCATCTCGTGAGCGATCAGCTGGATTGCTTTAAAAGCTTCTTCCTCTTTGTCATGTGCGCTTCCTTCTCATAGGTGGGTCATGTCCGATTGGAGAAATGCAAAAGAAAAAGTAAAAGCTCAGCATATTTTGGGCAATAAAGTGGATCTGGTTCATCTGTGTTGTTGCATTCATGCTGATGGTGATGACACAGTTATTTAGGAAGGCAATACCTACCATGTTGTCATTTTTCACACATATTTATTTCTTTATATGAATCAATTTACAATTAAGGCATTCAGATGTTGGGCAGCAGTGCAAATTGTTGTTTTCATCCACTCTATTTTTTCCTATGAGTGTGAGCTTTGTGTGAATTTTCACTAGTAGTCAACCGATCATCAGCATTTATTTATTTTTTTTAATCATCAGCATCTTTAGCGTTACTTTAATCAGTTCTAGATTACATAAACTTTACTGATCTCTCACTGGGGAAATTCACACGTTACAGCAGCGAGGAACAAATGAAGCTGTTATAAAAATTCAGTGTTATATGTTGTGATTCAATGCTCTTTGTCCTACTTTTGAAATACAGAAGGCCTTGAAAGATAGCGTGCACAGGACTTGCAAAAAGTAACCAAGCCTGTATAAATGCTTCATGTCTTTACCCTGCTGTCACCTGTTCACAATCTATACTGTGCATGTGATTCCTTGCTGCAAGTAAAACTTTGCTTTGCCTTCAGAGACGACTCTATGTATTGATTTGAAGCAGTCGGGACTCCACGGAAGAATTTTCCTAACAGAAGCACAGTGAGAAACAAGACAAAAAATAGAAAAAGACTATGCAACATGATGGATAATTTACCCAATAGCTGGACATACATGGTGTTAAGAATATATTTACATTCATAGAGTAGCCGTGCTGCATGTCTGCTGTTGGAGAGCTATAAGAACAAAACTGTTGTTGCACGAGAAGAGCTGTAGGAGAAAAATCACAAGAGAAAAGTGTTTCCCTTGAGTATACAACAGGCATAAAATGTGTGATCATGTCACGTGTGTTCTCTCTTTGGTTGAAGCTAAAACACAAAAGAAGAAACATGTTTTCTCTTTTATACAAAACTTCCTACAATGATATGTAATTATACTCTGTGCTATATTTTAACTCATCTGGGTTCTAATTTTAAAACCCACAACCCACATTGTCTTGTGTGATGAAAGGACGCTCTCTACTGGAGTTCAGCTTGAACTGCAGCTTTCTACAATCACACAGTTTGAACAGTTTCTTTTTAGCAGTTTCGACTTCACAAATGGAGTGCATGCTCCAGTCGTATTGCAATTGCCAGATGTTTTCATTTGGAACGTAGAATGTTGTGTAACACCAGTCCATCCCGTAGAATTGATTACTGTTAATGCGTGTAAGTTAATGTCTCACACATGATAACAAACCGTCTTCAGCTCAGGCTTCACAAGTCACAAGCTTTACGATTCTATTACTTTGGATATATTGTAGTCCGGAAAGGTCAACGGACAAAGCATGACCAAACTGCAGTAATGCACAGGAGACACGGGAACTAATCTTGCTGCTAGTTCTGCATTAGCTTCAGAGGGAAAGATGTTGCAACAATTAAAAAATAACTGTAAGCAACTAATCGTGGTTTAGAATTAAGATCAACTGCACAAATGCATTTCCTACTCGCTCCCCTCTCCCAACACAAAACACATATATTTGCTTTTCCAAGTTTTTATTCATTCTTCAAACATTATGCAACCAAACTGACATTCAGATATCTCTCAGCACACATGCACACACACACACGCATACACACAACACATTCACACACATGCACACAAAGTGCTGACGTTAGACAATGACTTTTACACGGCACTGTCTGTGACAGATAGGCAACATGTAGAGCAAAGGTGCTAAATATTGCACATTACGATCAGTGTGGGAAACCTTAACATTTCAGACCATTTAGCTTCACTGGCAGATGAGCCCAGGTTGTTTTTTGAAGTAATCATCAAAACAGCTGCTTAGAAAACAGCGGCGTGACGACACAAACTCTGCCTGTGGTTTACCAGTATTTGTCATGGGACTGATGTTAATTTCTTACCCCGACTGAATGAAGGTAGATACTACTCTGTAGGAAGAAACTTAAACGAGGTAACAGTTGATAATGGCCAGCCTGCAATATTAGATACAAGTGCTGTAAAGTCAAATTTGGGAGAATTACATGTTTAGACATGTTATTGTGTCTTTAGCTTTAGACCACACCTGAGTCCAACAGATTGTACCATCATAAAACAAAAAAAACCACACGAGTAAACACAATAAACCTGGAAAGCTAAATAATGAGGAGGTATCTCAACGATCCTAACAACAATGAATATGAGTTATTGCTTGGAAGCAGCCGTTCATCAGGCCAGCTTGGATATTTGTTCAAAGAGGAAAGTACATAGAGAAAATTACAAAAGCCACACAAAACCATTCTGTCTTCCACTTAGTGATAAATTAGCATTCGAATTTCAAAACCACAACTAGAAATCCAGAAAGTGTCCCAAGTGGCTGAAGTGCGCCGATGTCCTCGTCTCAGGAGCACTCGGTGAAGGTGGTCACCATGTTGCCCCGACGCTGAGTCACTGTCCTGCAGTGCTGGTTCCCTGAGCCCTGAAACCTGTCCTCAGTCCTGGCGTTGTGAGCATTAAAGGAGAACATCTTCTCCATGTCGTCAATAATGTTATCAAAGAGTCCTCCGCCGAAGGCCCTCTGCTGAAATTGCTTTCTGTGGTTGTTCATGGCCTCCCGGTGGGCCTGGAAGTGGCTGTCAAAGTGTCTCTTCTGGTGGGCTTGATTGTGGGAGTGAAAGTGGTGATGGTGGTGGTGGTGTTGTTGTTGTTGTTCACCAAAAGTGTCAGAGTCTTTGAAAATGTCATCAAAATTAAAGTTGAACGACTGGTAGTGCTGGTTGAAGTTATAGTCATTGCCGCCACCTCCTCTACGGCCCTCCCATGATGACGAGCCATGGCCAAACTGGTCGTACTCCCGCCTCCTCTTATCATCTGATAACGTCTCGTACGCTGGAAGAGGCAGAAAACAATCAACATACAGAACGGACATCAGTTTAAATGGTTCATCTTTCAGCTGTGATTTCCCTTTACAAAAGTCTATTCATGGAGAGAAGGTGTGTTCAGTTCAGGCTTTGAAGTCTCCGCTGTTGCCATGACGTGTAATCATGTGTAGCCTCACAACAGAAACAAAGTAAGGCGTGTCCGTCAGACAACAGGTGAACGAGACTCCTCCAGACGACCCGCTCTCAGGTGAACTTTACTCAGTGTGTCTGTTCTCTGACTATAATCCTAAACACCTGGTGTATTTAGGTGGCAGGCGAAGAACAGATGAAGCATTTAGTTAACCTTACATAATGACACAGTGGCTCACTTACCCTCAGCTATTTCCCTGAACTTGGCTTCAGCGTCTGGGCCCTTGTTTCGGTCAGGATGATACTTCAGGGCCAGCTTATGGAAGGCTTTCTTGATCTGCCGCTCGCTTGCATCTCTGGGAACCCCCAGGATGTCGTAGTAGTCCCTCTTGGCCAGAATGAACTCTGAGATGAGCAGGATGTTCACTGCTAGCAGCAGCACCGACTGGGCTGTGGCCATAACTGCTGGGTTTTTCACACCTTTTTCGGCTGTGAAGAGAGCAGGTTGACAGTTTCGTTAACGAACTTTCTCACACCCACGCAACACACACAAAACCCGGAAAAAAAGAGTCAAACTAACGATGCTCGCACCAGCTTTTAAACGAGTCCAGGTGACAAGACGTTGTTAACTTTGCTAGCTAGTTTCAAGAAAATGACAACTCATTGTTTTACTGCGATATATGAGAAACCTACAGTAGCCCTGCCCTTAAAAAAAAGCTTGTGAACGAGGCTCTGGGGCAGGTTTCCACTTTCGGTTGAAACTAGCAACAAGTTCGTGCAAGGAAAGACGGTTTACCTGCCTACGAGGTGGACAAACAGCCTGGGGATACCGCAGTCAACCGCCGACAGCTCCAGCTGATGGGAAGCGAAAGCTAGCCGTTGTTGACGAGCCGCATTCCTGAGCCCTAACACCACGACTCGCAACGCCATTGGTCAATTACGCCAACGTAATGACTTCAAGCGCGCTGATTGGTGGAAACAGTGCGCACGTGGAGAGCTGGGAGACCCAAGATGAATGCAGTCGAAGCAAGATAGTTATCTGTTCGTACTCTCGTCTTTGCTTCGCTTTATTATTTTTGTATTTTTGTCATTATCGCGGAACCTAAGCACGTTTTAGCCCAGTGCGTTTGTTGTGTAGTTTATATGTGTACTATTTTAAACTGTGTTGGATCAAAAAAAATTATTCTTAAAGGTCGGCTTCTGTTTTCATCCTTTCGTCATCATTTGTAACCAAGGAAGGGACGTTAACTATCTTAGAAATAAGCGAAGATGTCGTCACATCCGCTCCGGAGGCTACAACCCGGACGTGAAGGTTTTTTAACAAGCTTGTTTCGCGTTTTCAAAAAAAAAAAAAAAGAAAAAATTGCAGCAAACACAGACGTGTCTCTCCACGGCGTTTTCATGTAGTTTCACCGCAGATATGCCACGGTACTGCGCTGTGAAAGTTTGCAGAAACCGCGGGGGGACTGCGTCGAGACAAGACAACAAGAGAATTAGCTTCTACCCGTATGTTTTCAGTTTTCTTTCAGCTAAGGTGGACAGTTTTAGTTTAGCTGCAAGTGCTGCTTTTTTCCTGCTGTGCTTAGCATTATTAGTCAAAGATAGTGTTGGTTGCAGAGGCACGGGAAGGTGGCAGTCATGTCATATCAGTAGTGTGTAATGTGTGCTGTGCTTGTAATCATACAAGAGTGATTGGGCTGAATGTTGAGGGATGATCATGTTAAAATTATGCAACATTCAACTGCCATTCACAATTACAGAAGAGGACAGGGTAATTGTGGGGGGAAAAGACTCCTTTTCAGAATCCCCAGGATCATTTATTGTCAAATAGGTTTTCAGGAATTTGGCTTGGTTTTAGTGCATAACAGTGAGCAGTAGTATACAGATTGAAAAGTGTTGTCAGTTGTAGGTGTTAAGAAAGATAACTAAGAAGCAGTGTTGTAAATCAAATTAGCAGTAAGAGTGATCAAGGGTTTATAAGGGTGGGGAGGAATGTGCAAATTCGTCACCTGAGAATATACAAGGTTGCATATCATGTAGTGTAAACAAGAATTTGAAATGTGCAAGAGGAGTTTAAAGTGGCAAGTCTGATGTAAGAAATCACAATTAGAGTTTAGATTATTTTCTCAGGGTCTCCGATGGTGAAAATCCATTTTTATTATGTTTGTGGTTGTCATAAATTTGGAAGTGCAAAGTGAAAGCTGTTAATCTATGATGATGTTCACTTCTGTAATTCGTGCAGCTTCCCACAACCAGATAGCCTCCCAGCGTTACAAGCCAGTGAACATTTTACTGTTTCAATTCAGGAACCTGTAGTCATCAATAGCTTCTGAGGTGACTCATTCAAAACCAGCAGCTGCCTCACAGTCCACCAGGCTTGTTTGCTCTCTAAAGTTGCTTCTGCTAATTCTAAAATGTCTAAAAACAAACCAAAAAAAAAAAAAAAAGAAGTGCATCTAATGTGACCATGTCAGTACCATTATTTTTGATTACATACCAACATGTTGAAGCTCTGTGGGAATTGTAAAGCTGAGGGACATTCACAACACAAATAGTGAAAACTTTAAGCAATAAGCAAGTACTGGGTGGGTTATTGTGTTTTCATGTTGCCTGTTTTGCTTCAGTTTAACCTCGCCGATTTTTACATCTGTTGGCTTTTCTCCTGATCTCTCTGTTCACATGTACTTTCAGTACAGCCACATTTAAAAATAAAGCGTTTCTCATTTACATATTGTCCTGTTTCAGTTTCAAAATGATCATTTCGTCTTCTCTGTCTGTTTCTCAAAGCTTTCCCTTGCAAGACAAGCCCAGGCTTCAGAAATGGGTGGACAACATGAGGCGGGCAGAGTGGACCCCGAGCAGACATCAGTATCTGTGCAGCGAGCATTTCACTGAGGACTGCTTCGATATTCGATGGGGAATCCGTTACCTGAAAAATACAGCCATCCCCACCATTTTTCCTTCAGTGGAAGATGTACGTATGTGTCATGCAGCACACCAAAATGAAATATCAAGGATGTTTGGTGGGCAGCAGGGCCTTTTCTGTTTCGTGCGTCATGTTGCACCCTTTCTGTAGTTTCCTGCCTGATCACACTTTCGTTGCGTCATTTACTAAGTTATGTAACTGTGCCTGTGGAGTTTCTTTATGATCTCATTTACTGTTAATCTTTTTTCTTTTATCTCAGGGTGGTGAGAAAAAAGCGACCAGCATTAAAACCAGCTCCAAGGTCAGACCCAACATTTCAGACATTGACACTGAGCCCAAAGGTTTTGACTCTCCTCTCAGTAAGAGGCCACTCATCTTGAGCAGGACATGCAAAAAGGTCCAGTCAAGTACAGCAAACAGTACAGTTCAGGAGCACACAGAGATGATATTAGAGCTACCTCTGGTCTCAGAGATACAGACTGCTACTTGTGAGACAACAGGTGACACTGGAATGCCAGCAGCGTCCTGCCTCGCTCTGTCTCCGAGCAGTGAACCTCATTCCACAGAGCAGACCGAGTCGGCCGTGACTGTGTTGTGCTGCGAGCCGCTGGGCACTTTGTCTGACAGAGAAGCAAATGTGGATGCAGTGGCCCTCCAAGCAGCACTGGGCCAGGCGTTTAGCTTTGTCCCCGTGGAAATGGTCAAGGACAAACCCACAGGCTGCTTCCTGGAGGAGACGGGACCCAGCGATGGAGAGCACATTTCTGTTTACGAACACTCGTACTGCAGACCGGACACGGACAAGGATGAGCTTTGGAGTAAGATCTTGAGTTTGCATGCAAAGATCTTGGAACTGGATCGCAGGGAGGAGAACACGATGGCTAAAATCCGAGCTCTGGAGAACGAGATAGCCCTCCTGAAGAGGGACGGTGCTGTTTTTAAAGAAAAGCAGAAGGTTTTAGAGGATTGTATATCATCTGTTTTGCTCTGAGTGTGGACTCTTAAAATGAGATTGTTGATGTGTTTTAAATGTTACCATTGAGTCACTTTTGCAGATATGTTGCACATGCTCTCATGCATTCCTTACATAAAGCACAGCAGCACACACTGTGCCTGATTTTACACAACTCGACTGGTACGCGGCGTTATGCAAGCCCGCTTTTCTGTTTCCATATTATGGATGTACCGTATACTTGATTAACTCTTTGTGTCCACATGGTGGCACTGTATGGCCTGTATGCTTTTGCAAAGCTTCACTGAAGCCTTACTTTTCAGTGGCGTCCTGCTATGCATTCTTGATATGCAGTTCTGTCCACTTCAAATGTGGCATCCTAAAAGCTCCCAAATTCTTTCTGGAGCATGACAGTAAACCCAAACATACAGCCTGAGTCATAAAAAAATATCCCCAGAACAAGGAATCCTGCAACAGATGGCGTACCCTACACAGAGCAGTGAGCTCAACCGTATTGACTCAGTCTGGGTTTACGTAAAGCAACAGAAGCATCTGAGACAGCTTAAATCCACAAAAGAACTGAGGACAGTTCTCCAAGGTGCTCGGAACAAGCGTCCTTTTAAAAACTGCACAAATGAAACTGGTGCTACTTTTTTATGAAGTACATTCATAAGATTAGATAGAACTTTGTTGATCCCTTTGGTAGGGTACCTCAGGGAAATCTAGAAACAGCACAACACCGACAGTAGCACACATCAATTAAGAAAAAAAAACATTACAATACAATAAACACAATTCATCATCTGAACGCACTTTTAAAGACTGAAACGTGTGCACAGTACTGTATATCTAAGCTTTTCTCTTCTATCATGTGATGAGTATTGTATTCCAACCTATAAATGGTTTCTCTCCTTTTTTTCTTTTTTTCTTTTTATCATACAGTCCATTCATTTTGTTGCATTTCAAAATCTTACCAACATCCACCCTGCAGCTCAAGCGCTTGATGTTTATCAGAATGATTCTAAATTGCGAATTCCTTTAAAGGACCACCATGAATCATCCCTGACAAATTTTTAATACACAGCTTGCAAAATGCTTACCTTTAAACTCTGGTATTGATGAGACTGGAACAGCAGCTGCTTGCTGTGTTAATGCACAGGTCAGTTTTATTTTATGATGTTAAAAAAAAGAGACATTTACACATGTAATGACAGACTTCAGTGTTGTGGGTCCACATTTTATTTCTGTCCGAAATATTCAGCTTTCATGAAATAAATCCATGATGGGTTTACTTTAAAGTGTTGTATTTCTTCTAGCTTAGAAGGCATGAATGTGGTGATTGTTTAACACCTCACATTTACTTGTGCCAGCAGGATTTATCTCCCACTTTACCATCTTTGAACATTGAATTTGTCATCTTAGTATTTTGGACACGTGAGATACCTAATCTTATTTGAAGCTGCTTTCCAGAATGTAATTTAATATAGATGCCGTCCATTCACAGGATCTGTGGAACAGCATGGATCGTCATTACACACAACAAACTGCCTGTAAATCGGGAAAACAAACTGATGTCTACGTCCAAACCAGCATGTAAGTGTTTGCGACACAAGAGAAAATTAACCTGCTGTGAATGTAATAAAGTACAGCGTTACGTTTTGCATTCTAGACTTTAATTATCCACACGATTAAGTGCATCTTCTTCATGTCCATATTGTGGAGTTTCTGTCAGAAAATGCCGTAATGCCTAATTTGATGCACATTAGTGTTGTTCGCCACCTGGGCTTGTGTGGGAGAGCGGCTGAATTGTTGTTTTTAAATAAGTGCAAAGTGATTGATTGCACATATGGACGGATTTGTAAGGTGCAATTTCAATTTACCCCTAGGGTGTTAAGTTAAATGAAAAAGCTACGAGATGATGCATTTCCCTGGTGAAGAATGACAATCAGGCCTGCTGCACCGGGAAGGATTAAGAGAATGGATTCTCAGAATTAGTAATGAAATAGAACTGTAGTAATACAGCAGCTAGGGAAATGAATCAGTGACTCTGAAGAACAAACTAATAGAAAGAATAACAAGGGTTCAAGGAGAAAAGGAAAAGGCTCGGTCCTCTGTTTATCTGAATAGGTCGTGCAATGATGAACTCTGATGTGCAAAGATGATTAAAGAAAATACCAACCTTTACGAAGTGCCTAAGTAGATAATGTGCCACCAGCAGCAGATACATGCCAGATGTTGTTTCTCTGTGAAGTGTGCTTGGAATATAAATGCATTTCTGATTGCTCTTCATTGGGGATTTTATTTTGAAAAAGCCCTCATCTTGTCACCATGCAGTGCCATGTGAAAGACTGGATTCTGTTTAAGCATTGTTATGTCTCTTGAAAAGGCCCTTATGGAGCCATATCTTAGCATCTATAATGTCAGCTTGTTCCACAGCTACACAATATTCAGCTCAAACATCACAAGATGTTTTGTCATGATGTGTTTGTTTTATTTGTCGGCAATAATTACATTCATACAGAAGGAATATTCGTCATAAATAGACAGACATCATCTACAAAGATGCAAACACAGGGTCCATAAGGGATTTCATTTTCTGAAATGTTTTCATTATCGGGCACTGGATTTAAGTGATTTTATACAATTTTAGATATGTATCGTTTTAGCTGTAGTAGAGATATATCCAAGGGTTGGTACAGCTGTTGAGACTGGCCAGCAGCATGATGATGGCAAACACTGGACCTGAGAGACACAGAAAGAAAGAAAGAAATATGTGAACAAACTTTCATGCAATAGCACAATGTGCAAATAAATGCAAGGGCTACGACAAGTATCCACATGTTCTGGGTTAAAGGTTGAGTTGGTGACTAGATTTATTTAAAACCTACTTTTAAACCCTGCCCACCATTGACTTTATGTATAATGTTTGGATTTGTGGCCAAAGAATGCTTGAGAATTTCCTAAAGAGTCCCCACAAACAGACCAACCTTTAGTAGGAGCACTGCTGGGACTCCATGCAGACCACAGCTGTACAACAAAGAAGGGGCTCCAACACACTGTGTATGCCATGATGATCACAAAAGTCATCTTCACAGTCTTCAGCATCGCGTTGGACACCCCCTTCGTGCCCGTGCGCCCTGACTGCAGCGCCTTCCTCTTCATGTTGAAGTATATCGTTGTGCATATCTTCATTTGGCAATACAACAAAATGACGGCAGGCAGGGCGAACACTGACAGGGTGATCCAGCTGATGTAGATCCTGCTCCCCCACGGCTCAACAAATGTCGCCCAGCAGTCGTACTGGTTCTCCGCCACCTCTTGGAGAGAGAAGATGAAGAGCTGCGGGGAGCTGAAGGCGAGAGAGATCAGCCACGCCGCGCCAATGGAGAGATACCTCCTAAAGGAGCCCTTCAAGAAGGAAACCATTGGCATGCAAACCGCATGGTACCGGTCTATGGTCATGGCCACGATCATGTACGCGGAGGCAAACATCCCAACCACCTGTAGGTATTTTACGCACCGGCACAGGAAATCTGTCCCTCGGAACCTGTGCGTAATTTCAATGGAAAACTGTGGTAAGACTTGGAAAAAAGCGACCACCAGATCTGCCAAGCACAAGTGGAAAAGGAACAGATGGGTCCTTGAGTTTCTTTTTCTCTTCTTCCAAAGTATGGCTAAGAAGAAAAGATTACCACATGCTGCAAAAACAAAAATCAATCCCAAAACTCCAGCTCGGATGTGCGCAAAACGCTCGTAAACCTCTCCAGCCTCATCTACTGTCCTCCCAGACCCGTTGTTGCTGCTGCTGGTGTCCATTTGGGCACGAATTCCTGATGCTTCCTTTATGTCCAGGGTTCTGTTAACGTCTCTGTACATTACCTAAGCATTCGGATATCCCCATGTTGGCGCAGAGACATCTAGCCATTCCCTGCCTTTTGCGTACCAAATGTGAAAGTGCTGCAATTGTGACTGCGCTGGCTGTGAGAGGAGAGGGGGAGTTGTGGGCACCCAGTGATGAATAAATGCCAGTGTAGTGGCTTATGAGATACATATACACAAGTATAGAAGAAAACGAGGAGATTTTTATTAAAAAACTCCAAATTAAAAAATTTAAAAAAAAAAAAAAGAAAAAAGAAAAAGAAAAAACATTTTCCTCCTAAACACCAATGGCTGTCTAAATAGTGCTGAGATATCTATGTTTTGTTATATATTACACTTAATCTTTACTTGGATGGATTTAAGCAAGTGTAAGAATGCACCCCTAAACATATTATATCTGTATTAGACCACAGTACTCAGTTGTTGTTTTTTTTATGCCAAAATAATATTTAAAGTGTCTGTATCCGAGCTGTATTGATGTCATGGACCTCCTATTTGTCCTAGAAAGATTTGGTTTTGCAGAAGTCACTGAGTAAAGAATTACAAGCGTCATTTGCAAGAATAAAACATTGCACAGTCGTAATGTCAAGGGTTGGCTTGACAGTAATTGCACTGAAAGGTATCATGAAAGCTCTGACATTTAGAGTGAGTAGGCAGCCAAAGAAAAGCACAGGGAGTAAGAATGGCAGTACAACATTGTTCTATACTGGATGCAGGAGCCTTACTGACAGACACACACAAAAGAAAATCATGTTAGTTGTGTTATGGAGTGTGTAGCCCGTCAGACACAAAGAGGAGGCACTTTAGAATTCAGAGCAGGTTCTTTTAGATTTTGCGTGAAAAAAAAAAAGAAGGCTAAGATGTAGATGTTGTTTCATAAATCCTAATTTTATGAGATAAAAAAAACTTTACAGTAGATTTTATTATATAAAGAACAGTCTGTATAATTACACACATCATCTAAATTTACAACCCATCAGTATAATAATACCAAATGTATTTATTTAACAGAAAAACAACCATTTTATTTAGAAAGTGTTATTTTTTGGATTTCTTGATATTACACAATTTATCTCATATGACAGTATTTATTGGTAATTAAATGTTTGGTATTTGCCCATGCTATCATTTTTTAAAATTGTATTTTTATTTCTTTTTCTTTTTTTTTTTTTTTTTTTACATTTTCAATACATTTAAGGTAATTGTTTTATATTTATGTGCACTTTCACATTAAAATTCTGTAACTCTGGATACAAACTAGGCACATTTTTTCATTACATCCAACATAACACATATATATTTTTTTCTTCTTGTTGTTTTTAAACGTACACTTGTCAAGGTTTAATTTTTCAGGCACGTTGCACCTGTTTGCACCCCCACTGACCTTGTAATGGCAGTGCAGAGTTTTTATGTGATAAATTGGCTTAAAAGCGTAATTCTAACACCTGAACAGGTTTGGATGAAAGGCTGTGGAAGGCTTGAATTGGCACCACTTTTGCTGCTGGAGCTCACCATGCTCTCATGTCTACTTTTACAGTTTGTTCATCCATCCATTATCTACACACCGCTTAATCCTCACGAGGGTCGCGGGGTTGTAGCTGGAGTCTACCCCAGCTGACTTAAGGCGAAGGCAGGGGACACCCTGGACAGGTCACCAGTCTATCACAGGGCTACACTTAGAGACAGACAACCAAGCACACTCACATTCACACCTATGGACCTTGCAGCTCCTTTTTGCAGTTTGTCTCCTAGATATTTACTTTGTATGTGGACAAGGGTGCTTCAAAAAGTTCTCCACCTCACCAGAAAACATCACAGAATAAAAATTGTTCATGAATTATTTTCAACATGGTAAACAGAAGTCAGATGGTGCAGACTGCGAGCTTTCCTCTCCATTTTTCTTTGATTGCTTCCAACTCTTGAGTTTGTGTGGACAGTGATGTAAATGTCTTGACATGGGAACTATGACCCTTGTTTTCAGATGTGGCCGAAAACAGGTTGAAGTATCCTCATATTTATTAAAACTTTTATTTTTGCGAACTCTAGTGTCGACTTTATGTTGCTAAAAAGGCTATTTTGAAGTTCTTTGGTTCCTCCTGTGGGGCTCTGGAATAATTGGATGATTTTCAGCTGAACAAATTAAACAAGAGTTTTAGAATCAATGGCGTTGAGCAATTTATTTGTCCTCCAAAATAAGAGCGTTATTGAACATTTGGTGTTTATCTGTAAAATAACTTTTTCACAACATAACTTTTTGGACTATCACTTCACTTAAAGTATTTGATTGTTTTATAGATTTTTCAGGAATTTTACAGTGTTTCTCTCCAAAACATGCCATGCCTCTTTTAGTCTCGTGGTGAGTGTGTGCGTCTGTGTGTGCGCGACTGCATTTGTTGTATGTGTATGTGTATGTGTATGTGTATGTGTATGCATGGAGGGTGGGAGGGACGGGTTTATTTTATTTTTTTAAATATTGTAATGTTTTTAAATGTTGTAATAGTTTTTAAATGCTTTGTTGTTTTTAACTGCTTTGTTGTTTTTAAATGTTGTAAAGCACTTTGCGTTGTTGTTGTTGCACATGAAAAGCGCTATACAAATAAAATTTGATTGATTGATTGATTGATTGATTGATATCCTACAAAATGTATTTGCACCTTGTTTGAAATCAGATATTTTACTTTGAACATTTTTTTATTTGGCAGCCAATGCTGCTTTTTGTTCTCAGTTTTTTTAAATTGATCTAGAAAGAGAACCAGGTCTTACAGACAGCATGAGCAGTGTTGCTTCATAGCTAAAACATTTTGTTCATTATAGAATTATCACAATGAGTGAACCAAAGCTGAGCAATGGAACAGAAATCAGCTGAGAGGACACAGTGAACTGACACAAACACCAATGAGCTGAAGCTGGAATGAACTAATTAAAGCACAACTACACAAGCTATACAGATGATAACCACTTGCTATTTATCTTTATTTCCTTGTGCTGAATTGTGCAGCAGAATGTCTCTTAATTAAGAAGCCCCTTTACAAGTGTATAGAGAGCATCGATCGTATGTAGTACACCCACCATGTTGGAGTAGAGGTGCAGTAGTGTCTCCACCACTTCACTCATGACAAATAACACTTACTTACATACGTGCTAGGTTGTGATAAAAGGTGTCGCGTGAAAAAAGAAGAGCCTTGCCACTCCAGATCCTGCCGGTGGAAGGTTTGTAGAAGCTTTTAGTCGTGAGCAAGAGTTCAGTTCAGACTTTTCCAAAAGCAGCAGCAGCAGCAGTGGACAGAATGTTATTGTCACAGTCTTTCCACTTACCCCATTATAGCACGCTTAATTAATGCTGTAAAGAACTGCAATAGGGTGCAACGATGACACCGGTAATCATTTTTCTTTTGAAGAACTGACCTCAGTGATGCATTTTCTTTTCTTTTTTACATCTCACTCCGACCTGTGGATACTTTCTATACGTACATGATACCACCCCGCTGTTATAGAAAACCTTTCCAGAGAAACGTGTGCATGTAAAGTCACCACTGCACTTTTTAAGACCAAAGGTTTTCAAGTGAACTGCTCTATAGTCTCATCTGCCATGATGTGAACATGGTCCTTCAGAAAAAGGCACCTCCACACATATTAACCTTGCCGTTTCATCTGCCTGAATCTGTCAAACGCTGGAGAAATTATTATCATTAACAGCTGGCACTCTGCAGCCATTATCACACAGAACATCCCCCATGGTTCTTCGAGCAATGAAACACCTTTAAAAGTCAGGCAAAGGTGAGTTAGCAGATGTTGCAACACAACTCTTTTTTGACTTGATGAAGGCTCTGATTCACTGTTTTATCACGACTGTAAGATGCTAAACAGCTGAAAAAAAATGGGCACTAAGAAGTGTGACGTATACACGAGTGCATCTAAATCAAGAGGAGGAGGGCTAATTGTGCATCGCTGGGAGCAGTATTGAATTTCCAAGGACTTCATTGTTGTTTCCAAGAAGCTTTTCCACATGGAATGTCTTTATCACAAACTACTACCCAATTAAAGAGACAATTTGCTTCACCTGGTTTGAAGAGCAATGTGCTGAGTTATTGATTTCTTCAAGGTCAGGACAGAAAGCTCCCCAGTGCTGAAACAATGGAGAGGAAGCTGTTGTTTTTCTGTTTCTGGTGCAAATGAGCACGGGGACAATTTGATAAGAGCATGTTTTTTTACTGCTGTGATTCACTGGTTGTGTCTTCATTGGGTCCCTGTGAAATCAAGAGCAGAATTTTCAATGCTTCTCCTCTCACACAAAGACCAGGTTTCTAGAGTTTCCAAAAGCAGAACGGGAGTCTTCAGCATCTACTGTGGAACCAGCTCCTACAACTTTCCTTTGTGATAAAGCTTACAGAGCCAATTCATCCATTAGTTATGTCGCTGCTGACATGATGCACTGAGTGCCTTTCTTCTGCTCTTTCTTTCACGCTCTTGAAAAAGAGGAGAGTTTCTAATTTAAGCTCAGGATGCAAAAACCTCACCGCGGTAGGTTTCAACAAGTGGGTTAAATGCTGCTTTCCATGGTGCTGATAGTTAAGGCTGCTCTCTGTGGTGCTGAAACTGTGAGTTCATACCACCAAGAGAGGGAAGTAAGATGATATGAAATATATATCAGTGCATAAAAACTGAAATGTTTGGGATTTTATGCATTACATATACTACACTGAGCAACACAACAGTTATGAAACAACCAACTGTGTATTATTTTAGAAATAAAAATGACGTAGATTCGGGTCATAGACTAGAAATCTCAAGTCAGGAACCGGTCAGACTTCTGCAACTCGTACAGATCATGAAGTTGTCAGTGCTGGCTGATGCATTATTCCGGGGGACAGGGTCATATAATGCCACATTCATACAAGATAAGATATATACGATAAGATAAACTTTATTTGTCACAT